AGTTAATTTACTTAAAACTTCATCTGATGCTTTTTTTAATTCCCATAGTAATTAATTATCTGTCACAGAATTACCACCTACAATTTATATAGCGCTGATCTTTGCGCTTAAGATGAAACACTTTTCTACACATTTTAAAGAAACATATTTCTTAACTATGAAATAGATTTCACTCATCTGTATCTTATTTTTTAATTACACTCTGACAATGGAGGTTAAAGAAAGTAGTGCCACTCACTAGTACACTTAAACTCCATTGGCAGGGTAAGGAAAACAATATTGATGCTTGAGACAGAGCCTGTCAAAAGTTGTAGGTCGAACTCTGAGTAATTCTATGATTTCCAATAACAAACTGCATTTAAGGATAATTTGAATGTACCGTTAGTTTTAAAGTTTGTTGTTTAGTTTATGTCGACAAATATAAAAGAAAGTTATTTAAATATGAGTTGACCAGATCTGGTCCTGATAGGACCGGCTGGATCTGACATGCCTCCTTCTCTGTAGTAAATCTTATAAATGTGTAATGAAAAATGATTTTTTTTCAATTTTTTTTAAACATTTGTTAGCTTTACTTTATGTTTCGAGCTAAGCAGGTAGAAATATAAAAACTTTCACCAAATCACCGTACTTTCACTTTGCACAACAATAGCACAGGTATAATAAAGGAACACCACTCTAACGATTTAATTTATGATACCGATTGGGCAGCACTATCGCGTATACTTCTTATTGACAGCCAGAAGAGAGACGAAGACGACGACGAAGATCACAGAATGCTTCTTGCAGCTTCATTTATACCCCACAGAATGACACTTCTTTTAGTATTGTCAACAACCTCAAGGAACGACTTCCTTTAGTGTTGCCAACACATTGTCCTTACTTTGGGGTAATATTATCCTGTGTTGTAAGGACGTTTTTACAAACATAAATTTTACGCGGACAAACACCCAGATGCGGAACAACTATCTGTGGGTCACACAAATAGTTATCCCGTGTAGGAATCAAACCCACGAACCCCGACGCCGAATACCTTGGCGACTGCGCCACGGAGTCATCAATTAAGTTTTACTTCAAGCAAAAATATGTTATTGTTCGTTAAATTACCATTCTTTTTAGTATTCTGTCTTGTTATACTAATGGACTGAAGCATGCTTTTTTAAGAAGGTACCCTCTAAAATAGTTGAAGTTCATTTTTGTTACGTTTTTTTTTTATGTGAAAAGTTACCAAGTGAGCAGACGGTTCCTGATGTTAAGTGAATACTGCCGGCCATGGACATCTGCTAAACCCTAGGGTTCCAGATGCGTTGACAACCTTTTGAAAATTGGGCTCCGGCCACCTCACTCACCAGACGAAACGCGAAAGTATTTGTCATACTTCCACTTTACGCCGCTTTTCTGTGAGGTCGTGGTATTTACCCGGACGAGCCTGCCCATTCGTGCAACAGCCGAGACTGCTGCCCTATCACCGTAAATTTTAACCGCCGCCCATCGACTTTTGCAACACCCATAGAGCTGCAAATGCGTTGCCACCTTTAAATAAAGTGGGCCCCGGCTACCTCACTCACCAGACGAAACACAGAAGTGTGGTGGTACTTACACGGACGGACCTGCCCATTCGTACAAAACTGTTGCGTGACCCAAACACAGTTATAGAGTTTCTTCATCATTGTCTTCTTTTCTTCACAGTACACATCTGCAGTAACGCTTAACTTTTGTAAAAATCTGTGATAAATCACACCAACACTAGACCAACAATCTGTGATCATCACCTTTCTAGGGGTCATTTTTCGTTTAGGGCATTGCTTGGGCGCTGAACCAGAATCTAAACAACTTGCTAAGCGCTTTCGACTTGCGAACAGAATCAGTTTGTCTTCGCACGTATCAATTCGGTTCAAAAGTGATTCATCTCTGTGCCTGATGAGCAGCGCGAGGCAGGTTTCGACGTATACCTTGCGCTGGCGATCGTTAAGTTCGTAGGGCACCCATCTGTCAAGCTTTTTTACCTTGACAATGTATCGCAAATGGACCAATATTGCTTTGATTCTAGCATCAAAAGCTCGGCAATAGATTGAGTATTATCAGCTTCCACAATCGCTTTTAATTCATCATTGTTGATCAGTGTCCGAGGTTCATTTTTCAAGTCGAAATTTCCAGAACGGAAGCGGTAATTTCATAGGTAAAAAGCACATATTATTATGTCAGTTGTAAAATTGGTCGAAATGGAACCACTTATACAAGTGGCGTTCTTACGCAATACGATAATGAAATAACACAGATCGTGCTAAGTTATTCGAAAACGTTTTTAAACAGTCTAAAACGAGTATTTAAGCAGTAGTCAGTAGTTTTAATACTTGATTTGGTTTGATAACTTGAATCGACTATTTTGAATAAAATTGTTGCAAAAACAATCAAAATTTAATTTTAAAGCTGTACAAATTTTAAATTTAAGTTTCCCCTTTCTTATTCATTATCAATAAAAAATGTTCTACCTTCAAGCCATAACTCACGGTTATATTAATATGGCAATTTATGGATGCTCTACATTAAATAAAGTAATATCGGGACACTTATCATATTAATCTCTTATTATTTTAATTCATTATTACAAGAAGAACCTAAGATATAAAATAAATAATTGACAGTGGTGGTGCACATCAAAAGCTGTTTGCTTCACACGCATAAAGTGTTCAAAAAGTAAGATTGCGATTTTTACTTGTGAAAATTCCAAGCAATGATGCTTATAGTAAGCAGTGATGCTGTGCTGGCTGGGATCTTCAAGCCTATCTCAATCATAATGCTCAGAAACCATTACTTTATCATTTCTTTGATTTCCTGTGTGATAAGGAAATGTCACTGTATATTATTAACTTTAATGTAATTACCAAAAGGAGAGCCGTGATAGCTCAGTGTCCGGGCGCTCGCCTTTAATTCAATATACTCGAGCAACATGAAGTTTTTTAACTTTAAGTGCTGACTTATCACGTGCTCCGCGGTGAAGGAAAACATCGTGAGTAAAGCTGCATATTTTCGAAATAATAACAAAAAAAGATTTCGAAGATATGTGAAGTCCGCCAATCCGCAGTGGGGCCGCGTTGTGGACTATGCCCTGATACCCTCTGTATAGAGGAGGCCTTTGCCCAACAGTGGGACATGTATAGGCTGTTACTTTACCAAAAGGAATCTGTTTTCCGTTTTAACAAATCATCGGTCATCCGCACCGTTTCGATTTATTGAGGATGTTTTCGCCTTGAACTTTAATATTGGCGGATAATGATTAAATATTCTGGTTAGTGAAATACATTAAATAAATTGATAGAGTCACTTAAAGATTTTGCAACACGCATGTAGGATAATCTTTGCTGCTGGGTTGTCGATGTTCGCATAGAGTTCGGCACAGAGGCGGTTGACATGTGTACGTTCATCTTTTAATGTATAGTAATGTAGCATGAGCAAAGCATTCACATAGTCGCCTTATACGTGTGTTGATGGCAGTAGTCGCCAAGCTATGGCATTCTTTTTTTAAGTAATAAAGTGATTAATTTTTTGTTATCGGAAAGTAGGACGACTTTTGATAAAAGAAAAGAAAAAAAACACGTGATCTTACTAACATTTCCCTGAAACTTTTTCAGTATGTGTACACTTTTTACAATGAATATTTAAACGAAGGTTGTTATTTGCTATGGATTTTTTAGTGCTAGTCTGCACTTAAGATGAAATTTAAATGTGAGGTTAACACTTTTGCGCTGAGACATTTCTAACCTGTGTGTTCTGGGTAAAATAAGAGATATAAACGAGAATTTTTATTTATCTTAATAAGATAACTTTCCATTTAATCTATATAACGATATCTTAAATATGGCGTCGATATCATGAAAACAAGATGTATTTGTCTGCGATGAGCTTTGTTTTTGACGATTTTTTGAATCTTTAGTAAATTGTCAAGCACTCAGGTTTATAAAAATAAGGATATAACCCATAATTCAAGGAAATTATAGTTATAAGCAGAATCTCACTCAAATTCCACTATATACAAATAAAGTGGCATTTGAAATGTAGACTTTTTAAAAAAAAAAGCACAACTTGTGTTTTAGTCCGTCCATTGTTAAAAGTAGTTTTAAAACTTTAGCAAAGTTTGCAACATTTTTCATCATTAAAACAGAGTAACAATAACAGCTATTGTTATCGTTACTCTGTTGTAATAATCTATCCAAGTATGGCAGGAATCCTTAAATAGCTAAACAGCCCACTTCAATGTTTAAGACAAATCACCATTTTTTTTAGTAAATAGCAACATTAATATTGTGTATTAGGAATTATTACCAATAAATTTATTCTACAAATAATAATCTGTGAAAAAAGAAACAAATGCAAAAAAATACGTTATATTTCTGGTTCATCATTCGTAAAATTTTTATTTAGCCTTCTTCATGGCCTTACCGAAATTACTTGAATAGTAATTTGGGCATTTTATTATTTTATTTTCGCGCGAGTAAGGCATGATATAGTTTTGATTTAATATATAACTTGATCTATTGTTCCTCTTGCATTAGGGAAGATTATAAAGATAATATGAACATACATATTACATACACTATTGGTTGAAGAGTTTTTTGAGCTTCTTGTGGTTTGTTGTATTTATTTAACACGTATGTATATTTTGTTAATTAAAGAATCAAATTGGAATAAGAACATTTTGTTGTAAGTAACATTTAATACAATTAAACGAAAAAAAAATATTTACATTTAAAATTTTTGGGGTCTGTTGTTACAAAACTTTTTAAGGAAAGGAAAGGATTGTTATGCAAACATAAAATTACTTAAACTAAAAATCACAAAAGCTGACGAGTTTACGGCAATACGTTGGACTTGACCAAATCTATTCGATGATATCCTTATGATACGTAGGGAGATTCCGCAGGCTGGTTAAAAGTTCGTTTGGTATTTGGTGTTCCGTGGCCGCTTACAGGTATTGCCGAAACGCGCGCTCAGTTGGGGTTCTACCAGCCCGAGTTCCATCCCCTGTTTCCGTGGCCCCAACCGCCCGACCAGCCGTATCCGGAGAGGCCGGCGCCGGACCAGCCTCCGGAGTAGCCAGGGTTGCCCCAGCTGGAGTAGACGGCGGGCGACGCGTACCCGTAGGACGGGGAGCCCCAGCCCGAGCCGATGTAACCGGCGGTCGCGGCGCCCAGGATCGCCATAAGCACGAAGCAAGCCTGTCAATTAATAACAATGAGCATCAAATCGCTCGTATTCGGACAAACACTCGAACATATGATACAGAAATGGGTATCCACAGAAATGCCTAAACACCGAAGGGATTGACACTCGAAACACAAATGGTGGTCGAAACAGTGTTTTAGAATGTTGTTAGTTAGTTAGTTAGTACTAGAAATGTAGATAGTGACATTATGGGAAATTTTCAGATTATATTTAAAGTGATATCCCGTCGACACAAGCGAATTGCTTTAAGATGTCGCGTCTATAGTTCACCGCGTCCCCACTAGCCCATTACACTTCACAGGAATTTTCACAGAACGGTTAACGAGTACGCTGACGACGAGTAATGGTAAGGAATTTGAACACTTACGAAGAATTTCATTTTGATCACGCGATTGGGTATTGCTGCAGGAGCGAGTGCGGTATTTTGTATGAGGACAGGCACCGATGTCCATCCTTATATATCGCACCAAACGCGTTAGACGTCGGGACCAGTTTGCGAATTCAAGAAACAGAGCAACAAGAACTAATTATTCACTCCTATGATGTTTGAAGGTTTTGAATTTTATAAGTACAAATTATTCGCAATCGGTTTTTCGTCTTGAATATTTATGGAGCGCTCAAAAAAAATATAAATACGTTTTAAAGTTATGCTAATTAAAACGTATCCTTGTATCTACTATACATTTTGCCAATAATGAAATTTAGATTCAATGATTATTTCACGGTTAAACGCTGCCTCAGAGAAGGTTCGGAAAACTAAGTTCCAATAAAAATGTTAAGTTAAGAATAAACTACTTAATCTAATATATAAAATTCTCACTCTGTCAAATTGTCACAGTGTTTGTATTTGAACTCCTCCGAAACGGCTCGACCGATTTTCGTGAAATTTTGTATGCGTATCGGCCAGGGTGGAGAAGCGGACAAAATCTATTTTTCATCCCCCTAAATGTTAAGGGTGGTCCACCTCAAAGATTTTTTTTCTACCCTACAAATAATTTATATGGCAAAACAACGTTTGCCGGGACAGCTAGTAAATAACTAATAGTATTAAGAGAGTGCAAGAAAATTGCATGAAATTTTCAATAGCTGCAAGTAACTTCACACTGCACACTGGATAAACTTTCAGCATTTGAGACCGTAAAAGAGGTGTCTGAGGAAGATTGGAAGAAGTAGGTCTCCAATTTATACCACCGCAGGAAACTGTATAAATTCGAGTGTCGGGACAAACTTAGGTGGTGTTTGTCGCAATTATCTGGAAAGAAATGAACCATAGACCTATAGACTAGCAATATTTTTGATTGGCCCACGGGCCCATTTATCTATGGTGGAATTATTACTGATAGTTGTTGATGGCTTGAGTGTCTTTTTGACGACCTCATCTTTGTTAGTACTAATAGAATACAATATATATATTACTTATTTTTGGAAGTGTACGCACAATGAAATATGAACATCCTTTCTATTGTATATTGTATTTTGTCAATTTCAAGGACAGTGGCAGTCTAGCAGCAGCCTTATGAGAATTATAATTATAAGATTAGATTACTACACCTGCTGTGGCAGAGCCACGCAACAGCTTCTGCTGTTGCACGAAAGGGCAGGTTCGTCCGGGGATGTACCACGGCCTCACAGAAAGTCAGCGTAAAGTATTCAACTTTCGCGTTGCGTCTGGTAAGTGAGGTAACCGGGGTCCACATTTGTAAACGTATTAGCAAGCCATAGGGTGTAGATAGATAGTGTCTATGGGCAGCAGTATTCACTTAACATCATAAAAAAATTATTATGAAAATTTTAAAAAAGAAAAAAGTTTAGACTGTAGCAATAATTTATGGCTAAGAAATCAAATGCTAAGCAAATATAAAACAGATGTCACATAAGACATGTTCTTTAAATTAATTTAATTGGTTATTGGTATAAGACGTAATTCGATGACATAACAGGAAGATGCATTAGGAAGTGCAATATTATCGTCTTAACGGATGACGATCGTTATATTGCTTTAAGTTGTTCCTCATTTATTAAGTAATTTATAATACAAATATAATTTATAATTATCGTGTTATAATTCAAAATGAACATTAAAATTTCATATAGATAAAGCGTGGCTACAGTGTAGAATAATTCCCTCCATACGCTGTCTAATTTGTTTTACGAAAATTACGTAAATAGCGTATATTACATAAGCATATATGCAAATAACTAACTGCAGTATTGCATTAAATTCGACTACACTGGCGATATTACTACAAATATCTTATTGCTTATCTTCTCTAGTTCTGGTAGCAGAAATAACGTTATTTTTAATATGTAATTTTTCTTTCAAAACAGGTTTACTGCAGGTTATATATAACTAGTCTAGAACATCTTGTTAAATTAATTTCCCGTTGATAAAATAAAGTTATTATTAGATATTATACAGAATGAGCGGGACCTTGAAGTTGGCATGATTACTTCCTACCATAATAACTTTGTTTTCAGATGAGAAGACAAACGAGTTGTCAATTCATTCGGCGTTAAGTAATAACCGCCGAGCATTGATAACTACAATGCCCGTGACTTTGAAAAGCGGCACAAGTGTGAGCCCTTCATATGTCACTCAGCAGAGAGTGCTACTTAGTAACTTTACTTATAGTAAAGTAGCAGCCTATAAATATCCCAACGTTGGGCAAAGGCCTTCTCTATATAGTCGTATGGAGAAGGCCTTTGGGGGTAGTCCACCACGCGGCCCCACTGCGGATTGGCGGACTTCACATATCTTCGAAAATTTTGTTATTATTTATTAAAATATGCAGGTTTCCTCGCGATGTTTTCCTTCACCACTGAGCACGTGATATTTCCGCACTTAAATTTTACAATTCCATTGCCGCCGGCACCGGAGATCACTTCAGGTAGCTAGAAAAATATTGATATAAAAGCAAGCGTCTGAATATGCTATCACGGCTCGCTATGTGAATCTTGCTATTAAAATTACGTTATTTGTGTAACTAATATGTAAACACACCATCATATTTTATTTATACTCATGTTTACGGGAGGACTTTAGAAGACATAAGAGTTTGAAATACTATTCACCTTTGCATAAATATAAGTTGTTAAGTATGATACATATATCGCACGAATTCATTCATCGCTATCAAAAAACGCCCTGTTTGAATGTGTTTGTGGTTCGACATATTGTATTGTTTCATATTATGAATAAAAAAGTATTGTAAAATACTTAAAATACTGGTATATAATAAGTATGGTACCCCAAATGAATTTCTAAAGACAATAGTACTCAGTCCAACACTGAGTTACAAAATCGCGAAAAACTTGTCGGTTCATGCAATGATAGGCAAAAGTGTAGATACTTTTAGTTTTTAACCTCAGCCGTTCTTCTGCAATATAAACATATATTAGTGTTCATATTTTTACCTTAAGCCGGCATTATTCGAGGCATATTTCTGATTTAGCTAGCTCATTTTCAACCAGGTACAGGAGGCTGGGAATTCTTAGATTACTATGATAATATGAGTCTACTTGTGCAGATTATGTATTTGCCATTTTCTGTATAAACTTTAGATTTTTTTTGGCCAAAATCAATTGTTTTTAAATAAATATGTTCTTGGCTTATGGCTGCGTTTCATGATAAGAGGGCCGGTTCTTTTATCGCTCAAAGTTAACCATAACAATTCATCGAGGAAATGCAGTTTTCGTCCTTGGATCTATGCCGCGTGGGCTAGTTTTATTAGTTAACGTGTAATAAAGTGAGCACATAATATGAAATATTAAGTATTATTATTAAATATTGTTTGTTTAATAGATTACGGTAGATTAACTAGGCGTTAAGTCACAAATTACTAATTTAGATTATTTCGATACTATCGAAATAATATTTATATTACATATAAGTATTTATATTCAATACATATTCTTTTTTCAAGAAAATAAGTTAGATTCGATAAAGCCTCTAAATTTTCCTTGATAAAGTGTATAACTTTATTTTACTTTATAAAGTTATACTTGTTTAGTTAAAGTTCACTAGAAATTTTCATACGAATTGAGTTTGCTAAATATTCAAATCATCCTTTTGGTGCTGTCCTTAATGCTTTTAGTTGCAGCGAGTTATTCGAAGAAACTATAGTATTGCGTTGTATGCTTGTATGCTAAATGGTACAGTTACAAGGCCACTTTAAAGGAATCGAAGATGTTTTCATTATTCTACAACTCTGTTATGTTATGGATAAGTTTTGTGTCCGTGATCAACATAAAAATTAAATTTCAACGTCGGCTCGTGAAATTAAGCAATTAAACATTGACCAATCAACTGTAGCACTGTTGCGTTGTATCAACATTGCAATTTAGACCTGTCCAAGAAAGCAAAGGTGAAACCTGGAACAACTTTTTTATTTAATTAATTTAAATCAGAATTTCCAGGTTAATAAAATATTATATAATTGCATGATAAGTTCAATCATCACAGTTGTTAACGTAAATCAACACTTAGGCGATTTCGAAGTGTATGCTTTTACGGCCTGTTCGATGAAGCTCTACATCTACTTCTCCTCAAGAGTGGAAGACTCTTCCACTTCTCCTTAATCTCCTTCTCCTTAAGAAGAAATTATCCAACAGTCATAGAACTAAACCTTGGATCAAAAAATATGGGCTGTCCAAATAACAAGATTAAAATTTGCGTATTTGGGTCTCGTGTAATCCAGTTTATCTTCTGTTGATCATTGCATCGACAAAATTAAAAGTGATCGTATTGCGTGTGTAAGTTTAAATATATTTTAATTTTTGGCACAAGTTCCTAGAATGTGACTTTCTTCTTTATGTTAGAAGGTGACAAGCGAGCGGGTGATTTACCCGATGGTGGAAGTGTAACATTTCCACTATACTGTCTTCTGTGAGGTCGTGGTACTTTTCCGAAGGAGCTGCCCATTGGTGCAACAGTGAAGACTGTTGTGTGGTCCATTTGTACATCATATTCATATCCCATTTAAACCATTTCAGTTTTAAAAACAATAATTCATTGAACTCAGAAAGAAAACGAAGACAGTGACTAAAATAAATTTATTGAAAATATATCCATTTGCTTATCACAGAGTTGTTTAAGGTACTTAAGGACAAATTGCACGATAAAACACAAAAAAAGGAAACAATTAGCCAATTGCAGACTTAATGATGACTAAAGAAGAAAGTTGCGCCGAAACGAATCTTGCTCACGTTATTTTTCCAATAATCCGTCATCCATATCGATAGATAAGCACACGTCACTAGTTCAACAACAAGAAAGCAGTATTCGTCTACCACCAGCCGCTCCTGTAGCCGGAAGACCATCCGCCGTATCCACCGCGGCCTCCGTAGCCACCGTAGCCGCTGTAGCCCCCGTAGCCGCTGTAGTAAGACGGTGAGTAGACCACACGGCTGACCAGTGGGCGCGAGTAGACCACCGGCGATGAATAGGCGTACGGGGAGGACCAGCCGGAGCGGATGTAGCCAGCAGACGCCACGCTGAGCACGGCCACGAGGGCAAGGAAGCAAGCCTGGAAGTAAAAGAAATGCCTTGTCACGTTTTTGGCAATTCAATGCAAAATAAGCGTCATAGAGATAGGAGGAATGAATGATTAACTCCTGAATTACGGTCACATTCGTATAATAGTTTCAATTACTAAAAGATCGCAAAATAGATCGGGAGAATTTATTTGGACGGCAAATTTCTAATGGAGTACCCATTAGACAGACTGTTATCACGGAGCGCACAAATTATTAAAAAATAACAGTATGGGTTTAAATCGACACGAGAGAGGCATACGGCAGACAATTGTGACATTAAACAGTGGTCTTTTTAATCTGGACAGCCCTAATGATTATAGTAATTAAAAATCACTTCACGGCATCACTTACGAAGTATTTCATATTGACAGTTGTTGACTGCTTCGAGACTGAAGTGTAAGTACGACGTCTGAAGCGTATCCTCACCTTTATATACCTCTATACTCATTTGGAGCGAAGGAGTTCAAGTGACGTAGTCGGACCTCAACTGTATTGAACAACATTTCGACCAGTTTGTGCGGCTGTACGAAAGACAACACAGCATTAACAAACCAGACTCTGTGACGTTGTCTGGAGGACGAAACTATGCATGTAAATTTTCAGTAAAACTCAATCGATACAAGCTATCTTTGCCACTATCTCCAGTACCATTGCTGATTTTCCGAACAACACATTCAAATAATTTGAAACGAGGCATCAATGTACTTGACATCGATATAGGAGCTCGCGCGTTACGTAGGTTTTTCAAATGTCAGCTAGGCTAGTTCAGGTCACCGACTTAATAGCAAGCATCTCCTATAAATCAACCGGCAGATTAGACAATAAACAACGTATAAGGCCGACCTCACCTTCGAATTGTTTATAACGAATATTGTTTTGTATACGAAATAAGGTCGAGAATAAATTACTTTAAGTCCAACAAAATAGTCAACTTGAATACCCAAAGAAGCATTGATAGTGATTAAAATTACATGTATTTCGTTTAATATTTGTTAGATAAATAGTAAAAAATATCACGTGACACAGAAAAACTAGAAAAAGACCAAAAGGATACTAGTACAGATTTAAAATTAATATAATTTACGAGTTTTATATTAACTTTACACAAATTTTCTTAAAGAAATTTCTTTCCCATTTGCTCATAAGAAACTGGTTCTTTTAAGCTTTTTAATACGAAATTCAGATTTTCTTTAGTGAATGTAATGTTGCCTCTCACCAAGCTGTCCTTGAATTCGAAAATACATGTATGACAACTTTTTGGCTTTTGAGGTAGGCAGGCCTTAAAAGGTTTTTGTTCCTATTTTTAACACGTCGTTGTTTGGATGAAGAAATAAATTTAGCAATATGTACTAAATGTGGATGTCCTCAAATGTGACATTGATAGTAAAAGAAATTCCACGATATTTGTGTGTTGTTATCCTTTCGAACTATACAAATACATTGTTTATTTATGACATTATCTGATAATAGAAGTCACAAGACATAAAACGTTCTTAAATGACGTGCAATTTGTCAGTTTGCTACTAGTATAATAAGCGAATCTTTCATCATTTGGATCTGTACTATGCCCGTACTATTGAATGTTACGGTTCATCATCATCGTCATCATTTCAGCCTGTTTGAGTCCACTGCTGTACATAGGCCTCCCCCATAGACTGCCAAGAAGGACGATCCTGAACCACCTGCATCCATCGACTTCCCGCAAATTTGGACAGGAGTCACTCTACTCCGACACTGCGATGGCTAGTACGAGGCTGCTCGAGAACCTTTCTTCCCCAACGGTTATCGGTTCTACGAGCTATATGGCCGGCCCATCGTCACTTCAGCTTACTAATTCCCTGAGTTATGTAGGTTACCTTGGCCCTATTTTTTTTTGTTCACCTGATGTTAAGTGAATACCGCCGCCCATGAACATCTGCTACACCTGAGAGTTGCAGATGCGTTGGCAACCTTTTGAAAATTGGGCTCCGGCTATCTCACTCACCAGACGAAACGCGAAAGTATTAAACTTCCACTTTACGCCGCTCTTCTGAGAGATTGCCTTGGTTACCTTGGTTCTACTGCGGATGTCTTCGTTACGAACTCTAACACGTAGAGAAATACCAAGCATAGCCCGCTCCATGGCTCGCTCAGCCACTTTGAGCTTCCTCATACGGCCAGCAGTGAAGGACCACGTCTCGGTTCCGTAGGTCATCACTGGCAACACACAGTGATTGAAGACTTTTGTCTTCAATCACTGTGTGTTGTGTATCACAAACATTGAGGGATATTAGACGAGAAGATATGCCGAAGTGTCCCGAACGCTGCCCATCCGAGTTCACTCGGATTCGAGTTGATTCGCCGATTGACCTCTGCGTCGAAGTTGGACCTACCTAACCGGACTAACTGTTCTAGGTAAACGTAATCGTCAACAACTTCGAGCTCAGTGCTCCCAACAACAACCGGTATAGGCGTGACATGGACATTAGACATGCTTTTCGTCTTGTCCATGTTCATCTTAAGGCGTGCCCGTTGGGAGACACCGTTGAGGTCAGTGAGCATAGTACCAAGGTCCTCCAGCGGATTCCGAAAACGCTTCAGTACCATAGACCACATACACACCTTGCAGCAGATTATACAGAAGACCGAAGAGTATAATCTGCCTTTGTGTCCAGCGTATGTGGACTATGAGAAAGCCTTCGATTCTTTCGAAATTTGGGCGGTACTCCAGGCCCTTCAGCGGTGCCAAATTGACTGTCGGTATATCGAGGTGCTGAGGTGTTTTTATAACAAGGCTACGATGTCCGTCCAAATACAGTCCAGTAGTATAAAACCTATCCAACTGCAGGTCTAAGACAGGGTGATGTCATATCCCCGAAACTCTTCACCGCTGCGTTGGAAGATGTTTTCAAGCTTTGAACTGGAAAGGACGAGGTATTAACATCAATGGCGAATACATCACCCACCTTCGATTTGCCGACGACATAGTCATCATGGGAGAATCGCTGGAGGACCTTTGTACTATGTTCAATGTTAAGGTTATTTAGCTTTTAATTTATACTCACTTAAGGAAAAAGCCAGTTAAGCTTAAAGGCACGCAATTAATTCAGCTATTTAAGCTGAATTATTAGTCATTTAAATAATAAAGTTATCATTGAAAGGCAGCTGGATTGCCAAAAAATATTTAATTGTTTAATTATGATGGTTTTTTAACACTAAATTTATTGTTTAGTTGTTAATTAGCGTATCAACTTTTATTATTGTATTATAAACTGCCTGGTTCAACCATGGATTCGCACGTGCACACACATCCAAGTCACATTACCGTAAATATAGGGGTCAAGTTTATATCTTTACTTCCGCCCTAATTTATTATAAATATTTTATTACATTTATGAATAAAAATTAACAATCTTTTTTATGTGAAGCTTTACCTAGTTGGCAGTTCATCTATTGTTAAGTGATTACCGCCGCTCATGGGCATTGACAATACTGAGAGATTGTAGATGCGTCATCAACTATTAAAAAAGTGGGCATCGGTTAGCTGAACAGACAAAACGCGGAAGTGTAATACTCCCACTTCACGCAAGTCCTTTGCAGACGTCATTTGAGCCTATGGTGCTCCCTCAGACTGCCTGCCTATTCGTGCACCAGAAGAAACTGTGGCGTGGCCTTATATATAGCATATGTCCGTACGTTACTAAAAAAAATTGTCAACTGGATAGAATTCAACATCTCAGGCTGATCTTTTAAAACTTTTCTACAACACAGCATTATTTGATTATTGGTACAGTAGGCGAGATAATATAGGTTAAAACTTAAATATAGGCTTAAACCAGCTTATTTAGGAAATTGTTTGGAAAAAAAAGAGATTTTCCAAGGGCGAAATACAAAGATAATTAATTAACGTAACTTGTTTCCCAAAGGAGTCGCACAAAACAAAATTTCGATCCTCTTACAGGTTTTGGCTCTGGTTTTTAAGTATTTCGTATTTTCATCTATTATTTTATGGTTTATGGCTATAGACCTTAGTTATGCGCATTAGTGAGTATCTTCTAATGTAGTAATAATTATGTAACGCAAATTGCGGTACTCAATCATTGGGCATAGCGTAGCCGTGATTTATTGCCTGTGTAATAATGATAAGGTGTAAACAGAAAGATCGAAATGTAGAGCGCCTCGCACACAAAATTGTTTTATGTGAGAAAATAGTTTGACTATTAGACATCATCATTCTGCCCTTTTTCCACCTAGGTGTGGTCGGCACAATATGTGAATCATGTTGTTAGTGGTTTTGGCTAAGTTTTTTTACGATCCGCCGCTACAAGATGTCAACCCTCCTTGGGAAACTTTTAGTATGAAATCTTATTACTATCTACCGTATGACGATTTTCTCTGCGGGATGGAGTTCGAAACGAAGATATCCGAAGTAGAACAAAGATAACCGACATAGCTCAGAAATTTAGTAGGCTGAAGTGGCAAATGGGCTGGGCTTATAGCTCCTAGTACCGATAACCAATGGATAAGAAAGGATCTTGAGTGGCAGCCTCGTACTGGTGATCTAATGTAGCGGCCTCAACTAGATGCATTGAAGACCTGTGCAAATGTGCGGTCAATGGAAGAGGAGTCATTGGATGCAAGTAATTAGGATTATGCTTCGTGGGAGTAGCGGGGGAGTCCCATGTTCAGATGTGGTCTCTAACAGTTTCAATTAATGATGATGATATAGCATGGCTTGAAACTTTAGACATGGTTGATCATTTAATATATTTACGCTTTCTTCTTGATCTGTTTCTTCGTACATTAGAAATCTTGAAATCTATCATATACTTGAAACATCGAATATAATTCAAAATTTGTTAAAAATATCTATTCTATGTAACATGTCTATACATATGTTTTTGATGATTCCGTGGCGCAGTTGCCTAGGTATTGGCTTCGGCATCGGCGGTCGTTGGTTCGATTCCTACACGGGAGAATTATTTGTGTGACCCACAGATTGTTGTTTCGCATCTGGGTGTTTGTCCACGTGAAATTTATGTTTGTAAAAACGTCCTTACAACACAGGATAATGTTATCCTAAAGTAAGGGCAATGTTTTTATTTAAATAAAAAAAATGTTTAAGTTGTCACGCAACAAGAAACACTACTACTATTTACATAACCAGTGTACACATTCCCTTACAGCTAAAACACATTAATTTACAATTTCCGCAGGACAATTATTCTGTCAATAAATCATTGCCCTAATCATGCAATGATTTTTCATTCTGATATTATTGCACTAAGCAATTACATTAGAATTAAAAATCCTATTTCGCTTGTTTAACTATTGCGAAGAGATATAACGCTCCTAATACGCATAAAAAGATAATTTCGTAGGAA